CTAAACCGGTCAAAACCCCCGGACCCGAACTTTAGGCCCCGGTAACGGAACTCTCGCTGCCGCAGCAGCTTCGGACTTCAACGAGAAATGTCGGTGAACTCACCGCCTGAAAAGTCTTCACCACAGTCCGGCTAACGGCTTCAGCGTCCCGCCCGGGGCGGTGGGGGGAGTCCGGCAGAAAATTAGCGGAAATTAAAGAACGAGAAAAGGGTCAGAAGAGGCGACAGAAACCGAGCAAAAAGCGTCGGACTGAAACGAAGTCCTGCCGCTGCCATAAGAGATGAGGTCACCGCGGTAAAAATAACAGCAAGTCGTCATCCGGAGCAGAGTCCGATGAACTCGGCAGGCTCTTAAAGGGCCAGCGCACTATATACTGACACAGCAGAACCGATACTGCGTCCTGTTTCTTTAAGGAAGCACGCTGCATGTGATATGGAAATCTAGGACTGCCTGAAATAAATTTAAATCGCTTGAAAATACGCTTTTATAACAAAAAAATATTCTGCAGAAAAAAAGTAACTGAAGGAGAAGTAATTTATAACAAGAATACAACAAACATGCTTAAAATAAATAAGCAGATATATTTTATTTTATATAATGAATATAAAATTCAAATTGAAAAACATTTAGCCTTCTTTTAGCATAACTTTCATTTTAGGCAAGGCAAGTCAAATTTATTTTTATAGCACAATTCTAGCCCCTCTGATGACATGGTCAAAAAAAATTTTTAATTGTGGCCACGAAGTAGTATTTCGTGGCCACGCAATAAGTATAACGTGTGCATGAAATACTTACTAATAATATTAATATCATTCCTGGACAACTGGGTAAGCTAATCGAGCGCGCCTTCTCTAAGGTCTAAGGCACGCTTGATTTGCTTACCCAGTCGGTCTCCGCCAGTCAAGTGACATTTGTTGCTAAGACGCCATTTTAGGTGGAAAAGGCGTAGTGTAAACAACCGCAGCATAGCTAAACGAAGGACTAAAGGCCCGTTTACATACAGTAGCAGCCTGTCCAAGATAAGTCATTACAGTTAACATAAGCCTGAAAACAGGGGCGGATTTATCTATATTATTAATAAGTATTTCGTGCGCACGTTATACTTATTGCGTGGCCGCGAAGTACTACTTCGTGGCCACAATTAAAAAATTTTTTTGTCCATGTCATCAGAGGGGCTCCGTACAATTCAGTACAAAGACAATGCAAAGTGCTTTACATGATTAAAATATAGGAAAATAAAACAGAATCAAAGCAAGTAGGAAAAAATAAATAAATAAAACAGGCAGAAACAAGAAAGAACATTTAAAACAGTTGGACTAAAGAAAATAAAAAAGTTGAACTAATGATGCTTCAGTTGAACTATTTAACTAGAACAGTCGAAGGCAATCCTAAACAAATGTGTTTTTATTATTTATAAATGAGGAGACATTGGTATAATCAAATATATTGATGTTTTCTAAAAATAGAATTTGATGAAATCAGAATATGAAAAAATCTAATAGAACTTAAAATTGAACTAAGTTAAAATTTAAAAGGGTTTTTCAGTAAAGGTGTAAATACGTAAAACACTGACTTTTTCATGTTAAAACCAGTGTGTTGATTTTGGGCTTCATTTTTGCAGAAAACTGTCAAAAGGTGGTAAACAATCCATGGCTAACTAAAATTGCTAACGCTACATCTACATGAACACGCAAACACATATCATTACATTTATGAGTATACTCTCTCAATTAAAAAAGGCTGTAAAAGGGGCCCAAATAAGCTCTTTTATTTTGTACTCCTTACAAATAATTAAACATAAACTTTAAGACAATTTCAATTCAGTTTATTTATATAGCACCAATTCACAACACACGTCATCTCAAGGCACTTACAAATGCAATTCATCCAGATCATACAGTCAAATTGAATCAGTTTTCTGTGTAAGGAAACATATTGATTGCATCGACTTATAGGCTCAAAGGCAATCCCTCACATTAAGCATGCTTGCAGTGACAGTGGAGAGGAAAAACTCCCTTTTAACAGGAAGAAACCTCCAACCAGCTCCACAGGCAGCCCCGTCCAGGAAACATACATCCAAGCAGACAAAGGACAGTATATGTATATTTTAGAAGGATAGTATATGTAAACTACCTTTAAAGTGATAATGTGGGGGGAGTGTTGGCCTAGTAGGTGAGTGTCAAGCTTCTGGTCGATCCTCACAGCCTCCGGGTTCCTGAGCAAAATCCTTAGGGATCCTTAAAAGGATCCCTAAAATCCCTAAAAATAAAAGGATTTACATTACATTACATTATAATCCAATAGTATTACAAAAAGCTGAATATAAATATATTTATATATATAAATCTAAAACAAACATTCTAGATAATTATATGATAAAATATAAAAATTTTCTAACGCTGTTTATCAATTAAAGTTTTTAATAATTATTATTGAACTCTATTGATCTCACATTGGAGAAATTTACCTCTGCGTTTAACGTATCCCCTTGGAGGGCAGTGTGGGGTTAAGTGTCTTGTTTAGAGACCCAGAGTGGCAGTCTGTGGGAGTGGGGCTCAAAAACAAAACCAGGGGTGGATTTAAGAAATTTGGGGCCCTAGGCAAAGACAGGCATGCGGCCCTCTGAACTGAGAAGACAACATATAAAACAGACCCATTATACAGATAGAGAAATTTTAATAAAATAGACATATATTATTCATTCTAGGTTGTGTCCCTCTCTTCTTGTCTCTCTTCTTGTCCCTTTTCTTCTTGTTTTCCTCTCTATGTTTTGTACTCAGCTGACTTTTTATTCTGTCTCTAAAGGAATGAAAGATTTTTTCCAAGCACTAAGCTCACTTAGCTGATTGCTCCTTCCTGTGTTTCCAAAGAGGCAAAAGTAAATAACCCAGTCCTTCTTTTCACTGCAGACAAGCCATGATCTGCTTCTCTGTTCTCCATTTTTCATTTGGATGAAATAATAGCTGCATGAATCATGACAGCAGACAAGATAGAGGAGAGCAGGAGGCGGGGTTACCAATTTACTTGCTCTGGAGAGCAGAGTTCGCTGCTTTTAGATGTTGTCGCCAAAGTGTCCAGTAGCAGAAAAAAGTTGGTACATTTGCGCTAATGTGTGCTAGAGGGGTCTGAAAAGTTGCTAAATATAGCGACAAATGCGCTAAGGTGGCATCACATTTGTTTTCAAATGGTTTGCTGCTGTCTGTTTGGACCTTTGTGATCATGTGCAGCAAATGGACTGATCCAATATGATGGACACTGAAGGGGGGGGGGGCTGAGACACTTAATATTATAAGCATCCTGATGGCATTTAAGTGAAAGGATTTTTATCAAAAACATAATTAATGTGCACAAATAAGGAATGGCTGTATTAACCATACATGTAAACAGTTTTAAGGACCCCCCAGGAATTTGGGGTCCTAGGCAACTGCCTAGTTTTACCTAACGGTAAATCCAAACCCTGCTCAGAACCTCCGGATTCTAAGCTCTATGCCCTAACCATTCGGCCAGCTGTATGTGAATTTATTTTTATTGTTTGTTGACATATGTCCAATAGAAAGTATAAAGAAGTCTGTCAAACAAAACAAAACAAACAAACAAAAAATGGATCCTCTTTCTAAGGAATTGAAACCTGTTAGTTTTCCTCCCATGGTGGGAAAACACCTGACCTATGAGAAAGAGAAGCCATCAGATGATCTGCCGTATCAGATCAGTACCAGGGATTCAGGCAGCTGACACAGACCCAGGGGACATGCTTAGACAGATGAAGTATGCTGGTAAAGGTACAAGATCCCTGTAATACTTAACAAACGCTCAACATCGACCCTAATTGAAGAGTGTTGTCCTTCCTGGTTGTGTAACAGAAAATCAGCTGAATCTCATGTTGTTGTTTTTTTGGGAGGGACAAAGAGCAGAGTACACAGAAGGGACAAAAAGGGCCGAAGACCTGAAATGTCTCTCATTCTGGAGCAATTAGCATGCATGGATAAGCCCCTATGAAAACTGTGATGAAGAGATCAAAGCAGGTCATCATGGCTCTGAGATGCTCTGAGCTGCTCCTAATCATCTACGATCCAGTGCTTTCAGACCTGCACACAGATCCAGTAATAAGAAACCCAAAATAAAGAGGAACACAGTGCAGGTGGTAGTGATAACTGACATTTAGAGGAACAAATGGGTTTCTCTCCCTGTCCTGGTTCGATGACGCAATCCTGGACAAAATAAAAGGTAGAATGTAACTGGACTCTTTCCTTTTGACTGGAAGTCTGTTGAGTGCAAAAATTTGGGCTTGGAAGATTGAAACCCTGTCACTGTCACTCTGGATCTCTGAGCAAGACCCTTAACCCCACCGCACAACCGCAGCCCAAAGGGGATGGGTTAAATGCATGAGTTAATTTATTCTATGTGAGATCATCTATCCATCCATTTTCCGTCCCGCTTATCCCAGCTGGGGTCGCCAGGGATGCTGGTGCAGCTGTCTATGGGCGAGAGGCAGGGTTCACCCTGGATAGGTCGCCAGTCCATCGCAGGGAAACACAGAGACAAACAGGACAAACAACCATTCACGCACAGAGAATTTAGAAAAGCCGGAGGGGATGGGTGGTGGGAGTATGCCGGAGTACCCAGAGAGAAACCATGCATGCTCAGGGAGAACATGCAAACTCCACGAAGGAAGATGCCGGCTGGGAATTGAACCTGGACCTTCTTGCTGCAAGGCAGCAATGCTACCCACTGCAACACCGTGAAGCCCATATTGGGGGAGCAATAAAGTTCAATTTATTTATTTATTCTTTATTGGATGTACAAATATAGAATTAATATTTGAATCAGAACTTTGATACAACCATAGAATAAATGGGCTGAAGATTCAAGAAAGATTCAGGAATAAAAATAAAAAACAGGAATATTTCCATGTAAAACTGGTTTCTATTCTGATCTGTAATCGGGGCTCATACCCGTTTTGTCCAGGAGGAGGCGGCGTTCTTCCGGAAGTGGTAGGCGACCCAGAACACACAAGAGAAGAAGACGGGAAGCGAAGATGTAAACAATGCAGGGACTTCCCTGAACTGGATCAAACGGAACCACAGCCTGTTCTAAGCTGGATCAGCTGGATTCTAATGAGTCGTTCATGATCTGGCTCAGCCGGACCATCTGTTGTTCTGCTGCTGGGATTCGGTTCGGACGCTGATCCCCAGATTTTGTTTTGTTTTGAAACGCGATGGAAGATAACAAGGTAATGACTCTGCCGAACCGGGTTCCTTTTAATCAACATAGAACAGCGAACCCGAGCAGAATCAATGTTTGAACGGGTTACCAGATGGTTCTGATTGGGTTCATAGTCCGGATCGGACTATTTACCGACCTACTGGATCAGAGAGGAACTGGAACATGGACCCGGTTCTTTTAGGTTTAATCTGGAAGGTTCTGCTGACCGCTGGAGGTCCATCAGCGATACGATCAATGCGCGCGCGCTGTAGACGTTCCGGTTCTGGAGGTTCAGCCTGAGGTTCTGAGAGCCTGGTTCCTCTGGAGGGCCACAGCAGGGCCCCAACTCATTCAGACCAGGTTGTCCAGATCAGAACCAGTGTCAACAATCTGAACATCCGGATCACTGGTTCTGACACAGACTGTAATGGACCGGATCTCTGGATTAGTTTAATCTGGATTATATCAAGAGGAGCAGGGATACGTTTTACAAAACTGAAAAAATAGGATTCTTTTTAAATTCTTCAAATGAAATTTGAATCTAAGACGTGTATACAGTAGTCGAGTTGTTAAAAAAAAAAGTGGATTTTCTTTTTTTTTTTTTTCTTTTTTTTTGGGGGGGGGGCATACATAGCCTAATTAATATATTCTATTAACCTAAAGCAATATGCATGCTCTGGTTGTTACATATCAGGTACGCCTGTCCTTGACCTTGACCAAGGCATCTTACAGTAGAACTGGACTACATGGTTAGCATGGCTATCACTGCCCCGACAGAGTTAGCATGGCTATCACTGCCCCTACATGGTTAGCATGGCTATCACTGCCCCTACATAGTTAGCATGGCTATCACTGCCCCTACCGAGTTAGCATGGCTATCACTGCCCCTACATGGTTAGCACGGCTATCACTGCCCCTACATGGTTAGCACGGCTATCACTGCCCCTACATAGTTAGCATGGCTATCACTGCCCCTACCGAGTTAGCATGGCTATCACTGCCCCTACATGGTTAGCACGGCTATCACTGCCCCTACATGGTTAGCACGGCTATCACTGCCCCTACATGGTTAGCATGGCTATCACTGCCCCTACAGAGTTAGCACGGCTATCACTGCCCCTACAGAGGTAGCATGGCTATCACTGCCCCTACATGGTTAGCACGGCTATCACTGCCCCTACATGGTTAGCACGGCTATCACTGCCCCTACAGAGTTAGCATGGCTATCACTGCCCCTACCGAGTTAGCATGGCTATCACTGCCCCTACATGGTTAGCACGGCTCTCACTGCCCCTACATGGTTAGCACGGCTATCACTGCCCCTACCGAGTTAGCATGGCTATCACTGCCCCTACCGAGTTAGCATGGCTATCACTGCCCCTACCGAGTTAGCATGGCTATCACTGCCCCTACCGAGTTAGCATGGCTATCACTGCCCCTACATGGTTAGCACGGCTCTCACTGCCCCTACATGGTTAGCATGGCTATCACTGCCCCTACAGAGTTTGCATGGCTATCACTGCCCCTACATGGTTAGCACGGCTATCACTGCCCCTACAGGGTTAGCACGGCTAGCCCTGCCCCTACATGGTTAGCACAGCTAGCCCTGCCCCTACATGGTTAGCACGGCTCTCACTGCCCCTACATGGTTAGCACGGCTCTCACTGCCCCTACATGGTTAGCATGGCTATCACTGCCCCTACAGAGTTTGCATGGCTATCACTGCCCCTACATGGTTAGCACGGCTATCACTGCCCCTACATGGTTAGCACGGCTATCACTGCCCCTACAGGGTTAGCACGGCTAGCCCTGCCCCTACATGGTTAGCACAGCTAGCCCTGCCCCTACATGGTTAGCACGGCTCTCACTGCCCCTACATGGTTAGCATGGCTATCACTGCCCCTACAGAGTTTGCATGGCTATCACTGCCCCTACATGGTTAGCATGGCTATCACTGCCCCTACATGGTTAGCATGGCTATCACTGCCCCTACATGGTTAGCATGGCTATCACTGCCCCTACATAGTTAGCATGGCTATCACTGCCCCTACCGAGTTAGCATGGCTATCACTGCCCCTACATGGTTAGCACGGCTATCACTGCCCCTACATGGTTAGCACGGCTATCACTGCCCCTACATGGTTAGCATGGCTATCACTGCCCCTACAGAGTTAGCACGGCTATCACTGCCCCTACAGAGGTAGCATGGCTATCACTGCCCCTACATGGTTAGCACGGCTATCACTGCCCCTACATGGTTAGCACGGCTATCACTGCCCCTACAGAGTTAGCATGGCTATCACTGCCCCTACCGAGTTAGCATGGCTATCACTGCCCCTACATGGTTAGCACGGCTCTCACTGCCCCTACATGGTTAGCACGGCTATCACTGCCCCTACCGAGTTAGCATGGCTATCACTGCCCCTACCGAGTTAGCATGGCTATCACTGCCCCTACCGAGTTAGCATGGCTATCACTGCCCCTACCGAGTTAGCATGGCTATCACTGCCCCTACATGGTTAGCACGGCTCTCACTGCCCCTACATGGTTAGCATGGCTATCACTGCCCCTACAGAGTTTGCATGGCTATCACTGCCCCTACATGGTTAGCACGGCTATCACTGCCCCTACAGGGTTAGCACGGCTAGCCCTGCCCCTACATGGTTAGCACAGCTAGCCCTGCCCCTACATGGTTAGCACGGCTCTCACTGCCCCTACATGGTTAGCACGGCTCTCACTGCCCCTACATGGTTAGCATGGCTATCACTGCCCCTACAGAGTTTGCATGGCTATCACTGCCCCTACATGGTTAGCACGGCTATCACTGCCCCTACATGGTTAGCACGGCTATCACTGCCCCTACAGGGTTAGCACGGCTAGCCCTGCCCCTACATGGTTAGCACAGCTAGCCCTGCCCCTACATGGTTAGCACGGCTCTCACTGCCCCTACATGGTTAGCATGGCTATCACTGCCCCTACAGAGTTTGCATGGCTATCACTGCCCCTACATGGTTAGCATGGCTATCACTGCCCCTACATGGTTAGCATGGCTATCACTGCCCCTACATGGTTAGCATGGCTCTCACTGCCCCTACATGGTTAGCATGGCTATCACTGCCCCTACATGGTTAGCACGGCTATCACTGCCCCTACAGAGTTAGCACGGCTATCACTGCCCCTACACGGTTAGCACGGCTACACTGCCCCTACACGGTTAGCATGGCTATCACTGCCCCTACAGGGTTAGTACGGCTATCAATGTCCTACTTAGTTAGGGACTAATTTCCCACTGGGATCAGCTTTATAATCATGTTTAAAAGTTCCCTTTTTGTTCATATTTCAATCGTTTTCTCATCAGTGTGTTAGAGAGGAGGTAACCCCCCTCGGCATAGGGTAAGGTGAAGATGGGGACGAGCACGTAGGACAGCCTTATGCAAACATATCCCCGGAATTAGTGACAATTAGGAAGACCACTTATTTAGATGATCCAGCCCGAAAAAGAACATCCTTTAAAAGTAAAGTAACAAAGTATTTGCACTTTGCTACTGGACACCTCTGGTCCTCTGTGGCTAAACTGACTGCTTTGTTTCCTCTACCCTCAGATGGTGGCCGGAAAGGTGAAGAAGCCCGGAAAACGAGGCCGCAAGCCAGCAAAGATCGATCTGAAGGCCAAACTGGAGCGGAGCCGGCAGAGCGCCAGAGAGTGCCGAGCTCGGAAGAAGCTGCGGTACCAGTACCTGGAAGAGCTGGTTTCCAGTAAGGAGAGAGCCATCTGCGCCCTGCGGGAGGAGCTGGAGATGGTGAGGCCTGTTATTACAATTACTCTTTAACTAAAATATAGATAACGGTCCAACTTTAAACAGCTTTTAGCCGATATTATCCATCAGCACTTCGAGTTTCCTCCAAACGCTTCATCCTGTTCAGGTTCTGCTCACTGAAACTGGGCTGATTATTCCTGTTTGGTTCTGGTAAGACCTGGATCCCTCCCTCCATATTGTGTTCCTCTGTATGACAGCACCAGTCTGTGAGCTGCAGCTGCAGCTGATTTGTCTCCAGATGCTGATTCAGGCTTCATGGTGTTCTGTTGTTCCTGTGATGCAAAGACAAGAGAACCAAGCAGTTGTTCTTCTTACTAATAACTGCCTGTGTAGAAACTCCAAACCTGAAGAGCTGATTCTGAACCTCAGGGGTTGTTCGCTGTGCTTCATCAGTGGTTTGATCTCCTGATCCTGCTTCTCTCTTGCAGTATAAACAGTGGTGCTCCGCCATGGACCAGGGAAAGATCCCCTCGGAGATCAAGGCTCTTCTGACCGGAGACGAGCAGAAGATTCCTCAGAGCGCCAGCAGCACCAAAGCGTCAAAGAACGGGAAGAACAGCAGCGCTCAGAGTTAAACCATCAGCGGCGCTTGTCCTCCACCTTAATTACTAAAAGCTTTCCGTGACCTTTCAGCACCTCTGTGATCTGGATGCAACCCGGATCCCACCCAGCAGACCTATTCCTCCAAACCATTAGAAATTTAACGTTCATCAGAAGAACCTCCTTTCATTCTTTCTTCACTGATCTCATCTCCTGTTTGTCTATTGTGGCTGAAATATGGCTGAGGTCTGCTATCTTCCATCACCTAGTTGTTTCCAGGTCACATGACCCGCTGACGGCTTCCCGCTGCTCAGAAAGGATGTTTTGATTTTTATCTTCTCTCTAAATGTCAGTGTTTCTGTTGTAGCGTGATAGATCCGATGTTTCAGCTGGTTCTGGATCACATGGAGCCATGTTTTAGCAGCTTCTGAATCAGCCTGTTCTGAACCAGCTGGGAACGGAGGGAATGAGAATTGATCACCTGCTTCTGCACCAAGGATCAGAGATAATTGGTTTTGCATTAAGTGAAACTTTGGAGAATCGGGTTCTGGGTCAGCTGGGTTTGGATCAGTGGATTCTAGACTTGCTAAAGACCTGGATTAGCGGTTCTGGGTCAGCCAGACGTTGTTCAGATAGCTGGTTATGGATCGGATTGCGACAATATTTTCTAGATCCAAATAAACTCTGTTTCTTGATAGGCTGCTCTGGTTCAGCAAACCCTGAATCGTCTAGATTTGGATCAAACAAAGAATGTTTGTTTTTAATTTTTTTTTCTATACTATTCACTTCTGGACCCAATAGTTTTAGGTTAGCTGGTCCTGAACCAGTTCCGTGTGTCATTAGAGCAGGAAACATGTTCCACAAACAACTCCAGATCCTTTTTGTTTTCTTCTCTTTGTCTTAATGATGTAATATTTCCTGAATGTTGTCCACTTTCTTTGTTGTAGCAGAAGCACTTTGTGAAACCTAAATAAACTTTGTAGCTCTTACCAAACTTTGTCAAAGCAAATAAAACAGAATCACTCTGATGAAAACTCTCCTTTTTATTTAATCAGCAGATGTTTATATTACTGCACATTTTCACAATGTTTACCTGGACCAGGCTCGGAAATATTTCCTGGAGGCCCCCCTCCCAGTTCCTCTGCTTCTATTTCCTGTTAGTAACAGCTAAATATAGCCTACAGCGCCACCTACAGAACACACTATATCCATATATCCCAGCCTCTGGGACAAAATAAAAAATCTTCCTCCTTTGGTCCAGGTAATGAGGTAACCAGAGGTTCTGGCTCTTTTAGCATCTAATAAAGCAACAAAGCACATGATGGTAGCAGTAGGACCAGTTTTTACAAACATTAGCTTCTAGCACACAGATTACAGAAGCACTTGTTGAGAATGTCCACTGGCTGTGTAGATGACCCAACAAGAAAACGTTTGAGACACCGCGTTGGAAACCATGGCAACCAGAAGGGATGGACCATCATAAAGTAGCCCTTTACACACAAAGAAACACATTCTGGGAGTCTGAGTCGGTCCACTGGCCAACATGGCTCTTGGGTTGGTTCCAACTGTCCCAAGTAGCTCATACAAAGGTGTTGGGGGGATTGGTGTTGGTGGGCCAAGCTACCTTTTTTTCCTTAGTATTCCGATCAAATGCATCATACACAGAGTCCTTGGTGATGGTCTTTGCTTGGACTGGGATCTCAATCACCCCAACGTAGTTCTTCTTGGCCATCCGGGAGCTGGCGGTGATTGTGTAAGCATTACTGCGGTAGCACTTCATGGACGACATGCAAAAGGTCTCCCGCATGCCGCGCCTGAAGTTTGCATTGTACATGGAGTACAGGGTAGGTTTGGACGCCGTGGAGCTTAAGCAGATCCAGGCAATGGCTGTGAAGAACAACAGTTCCTGCCTACCAGGTACTTGTGCCTCCTTAGGGTGCCACAGCTGGGCCACATAGAAGGGTGTCCAGGTGAAGAAGAAAACAGAGTTTAGCATGAGGAACATCTTGATGGTCTTAACTTTAGTCCGCGGGACAATGTTCATAGTCCGACGCACCGTAAGGCCGTCGGCTCCGATCCTCCAAACGTAGCGGACCACCCGCTGGTAGAAAGATACTATGAGTCCAACCGGGACCACAAATCCTATCAGAAGGTGAAATGCAGCAAAGGTTATGCTGCCCCAACTGTCTGGGAGGAAAAAGTCACAATGACTGTCTGTGGATCCATAAAAGAAGAAACAGGGGGAGATAAAGGCGGCATCAAACAACCATGAGGCCAGAATCATCTTCTTTGCCTTCTCTCTGGACACTTTGAAGCTGAGGGGATAGACAATGGTGTAGAAACGGTCCACAGAGATGGACAGCAAAACATAAACCTGAACACCGGGGCACAGGTGCTGCAGGTAGCGTACAATCTTACAGGCAGCAGCGCTCAGCGGCCATTGTCCTGCTGTGACCTGCAGAAGGACAAACGGAGCCCAGCCGAGGCTCATGAGCAGGTCTGCACAAGCCATCGACACAACAAAGTAGTTGGTGGTGGACTGAGTCCGTCGGCTCCTGTGGATGACCAGGCAAACCAGAGCATTTCCCAGGATGGAGACCAGCCAGAGGACGCCAAAGACCAGGCCCAGGACAGCGACCTCTCCTTGGGTCAGCTCACTGGAGGCAGAGGTGTTGGGCTGCCTGAAGGTCGAGCCCTCGAGGCTATAGAGCGGAGTGGTGGGTAAGGTGGCCAGGACAGTCGAGTTTTCTCTCTTGGAGTAGTTAAATGACATCTGATACATGAGGACTGGAGAATGGAGGGAGGGATTTACACCAACTCTGTTTGTTGACTGAGCATAAACCATTGCTGTACAGCAGCATTGGAGATGAGCTGTGGAGACACAAAAACAGGAGGTCACTACAACAGACAGGAGTGTTCACGCAAGTCTTTCTTACTAAACAGCTGCAGGTCAATCTGAAGTACCGGTCGCTAAGCATTTGTTCCCCAAACTCATCGATGGAGTTTGTTTTTATACCTCGAAGAGTTCCGAAATCTTAAAGTTGTGGGGAAGCAACTGTTCCAAGCGTTGCATTTCCAGATTCTCCGGAGTGGTGCACGACTTGTGATTGGCTAGTCGTGATTGGTCGTTGTTGGAGCGGAAGGTTCCAAAGCAGGTTTGTTTGTGGCCGGTTTGTCAGAAGCATCTTGCTAACCAGTTAGCAACTTAGTGCTAGCAGGTTCCAAATGGGAAATTCCATTGGGACCTAGTAGGACTAAATTGGTGACTTAGAAATGACACTGTCAAGAAACGCTATGGACAGAGGAAACATGCAAGAGGAGGAGAGTTTAGTTTCGGAGGTCGTGGATGAGTCATATTAGCTGCGATATATGAATCAAGATGCTATGACTGAAAAAATTTGACAGATGACCGTTGATATATGGATGGCTGAATGTAGGTGTTCAGGCTGACGTATAACTAACTGGCCTGCAGAAGATAACGAAAAAAAAAAGATTTTAAGACAGGATTTTTTTAAAACAGAAATTTTCTAAATTTTGGGAAAATGTCGTCTGATAAAGAGTACATTTATAAACATGTTTAAGCCAGAATGATTTGACATTTAAGTATGATTTCCCTATGACTTTAAGTCCTTAGTGACTCACGGAGAGAAGGATTTATTTGCTTCTACTATAGCCCCATTTACACTGCCCTGTGAAAACTGAACCGTGCAGAGCTCGGTTCCTTACGACCGTTTACACACCGAGCTAACACTGTTCTTGGCCTCCTAGTGACAATCTGTTGGTACTACTGCTCTCTAGAGGTAAACAAGCAAATCAACATGGCGGCACCCGTAACATTCAGGAAGTTTGCGGAGAGTCAGACGAAGAAGGCAGCCTTTGGTGAATTTACTTGACAGTCGGCTTTTGGGGAGTGGATACGACAAACGATAGTCTAATCAGGAAACAACAACAGGAGGCTGCTTAGCAGAATCATGACTGGAAATCCTGTGGCACAGTAGGGAAGCTAGTATTTTTATGAATGTCTGAAATTTCATGATTACAGAGGCTTACTGTGAGGAGATGCTGATGCGCTCTTTGTTATCTGAGAACCAACCAGAACTGAACCGCTGGTTACCTTGGTTACCATGCTCGGACCGATCTTGGTAGGGTTTCAAAAGGCTACTGTAAATGAGCCTTATGTTTGCTACCCTGGCTAGGCTAGCATTAGCATTCATGCTTCAAACTCAACATAGGGGTTTTAGCTGGTAAAGTCAGGTGGGTTTGATGAGGTTTGACCTGTCTTTTAGTAGCAGCTTGTTTGTTGAATCCTTTGAAATGTTGATTTGTAAGCACAGAACAGGAAAGAACCTGAAATTTAAACTGACGTCAAAACTATCAAAGCTTTTCAGCCATCCCTTTGGGGAGCAGTGGACTGCCTTTGTGTGGCCCCCAGGGAGCAGTTTGGGGTTAAGGGTCTTGCTCAGAGAGCCAGAGTGCAGTCTGTGGGAGTGGGGCTCGAACTCAGAACCTCAGGATTCCAAGCTCTATGCCCTAACCACTAGGCCGCTTCATCCCTGCACTGCCCCTGGTCCTCCTGGGCAATGCACAGTTGTTGGTTAGACAATGAAGACTCTTGACTCAAAGACTAGAAAAGCAAGTGGTTGGTTAGTAAATCCATTGATGCCTGAGAGCAGATAGTTGGTAAGTGTTTTGGTTTATTAATATTCCTAGACAGGTTCATTACCAACCTAAAACCAATTAATCCTAATTTCCAGCCAGAAATCCCACCGCTCTTGTTCTCCAGTAGCCAACTGGGATGGGTTTGGAATCTGCAGGGATCCCAGTCTCCTCTGAGGGAACCCATTAAGGCTGCAAGCAACCCATGAGACAAAGCTCTGTGTTTACAGAGGCTGTCCTGGTGACTCGGCTGGATTTACTCGTTAGCAACCCCTTTACAGCCATCCAAACAAGTCACAAATAGAACACCTTTCATCTTTATGTTAGAACCCAGGCCTAACTTTCTGAAGGACTGGTAGACATGTCCCAAACAATAATTTCAATACGTAGACTTGTCAACAATATGTGGAACAAATTTCTAAATTTGATTTTGCTGCTTTTGAACTGATGCAGCTGAAAGGGGAAAAATCCATCAGTCAATCCAAATTTTTTCTGGATGCATTAATGGATGAATGAAACTGAAATTGTGTGCATACTAGGGATGCATGATATATAGCTGTTGGGATCAGAATCGGCTGTTATTCATCCTTTTTTATCCATTAATACCCATAAAAATAAATATCAGTGTATTTTGGATCTTTCGTGTTCTCAACAATAGGAAAGAGTTCAATAAGTCTATGTTTGAGCTCAATTTTGGAAAATAAACAAAATAAAAGCGTCGAGTAACTGTAGGTCCATCAGCCTCCATCCTTAGAATCTCCAATAACTTTCATAACAAAGTTACACCCTTTTGTTAGAAAATGTTTCTGGACCTTGTGGATACATTTCATTTGAGTTTAAAGCTACATAACAAATCAACACAGTTGTGTTTAAATCCTGGATAAACAAGCTGATGATGTTGCTGAAACTCAAACTTTTTTCTGTGTTAAAGCATTCAGCTGGAGTCATTTTAGATGTAGGTGAAACTATGCAAAAATGGACAATTCTGTATATAAAAATGCATAAAATGTATTTAAAAACAACCATAATAATAAAGCATCATTCCGTCTGTCTGAAGGGTTATCATTTTTCCATATTATAAAAATTCCCCATAAATATTATCTCTTTATTTGCCAACATCATGTTAAAATAAGGAGATTGATTTTCCACATTTTAATTATAAAAGAAAGGAAGATTTTTTTAAAGGAATTAAAAAGTTAAAATCTTTTAAAAAGATCTAAATTTTCTAGAGAAAAGCCAGATGTGGAGCAGAAAGGATGGTTTCTATGGTAACCATCTGATCCGTTTGTTGTTTATATTCAGATCAGGTTTATTTATTGATACTGTTAATATTTTGTTCTTGATTTAAACCTTAAATCTGTTGCTTGGTGCCTCTGGA